TTTTTTTTTTTTAAGATTTTCAACATGACATGACAGATTGCTGTGTTTTCTTCTCTATTTTATGTAAGGGAATATGAAAATATATTATTTACTTTTCTTTCATGTATTCTTACATTTCATGCTTTTATTACATAATTTTTTTTATTTATGTACGTTTTCATTTATGCTTTGAGTTTAATTTTATGTGCATATTTTTGTTATATTTAATGCATTCATTTACTCTTTATTGAAGGATGAAGAAACTCTTTTAATATATACACTATTATCTTCTGCTTGCATTGACCCTTCCATGGTACACGTGGAAGCTGTAACACCTTTAAGCAAATCTGATATTTGCTTTTAAGTTTTTCATAGTTGTGATTAGAACATCTAGATACTCCATCATTTATGCTTCTTTATTATTTGTTTTATTATATCTTGTAGCTTTGAAACTGCATGCTTCTCTTCTTCTCTTGTTGTGATTAAATGCACATTTTATTAACTACTTTTATTGTCTTCTGGTTCTACTTGCAGTAGTTTACCTATGTAATTATTTTTTGGAACTTTCCTTAACAGAAATCTCATCATGCACATGGGTGGACGTCTGATACAGACCTGACTCTTTTGGCTCGCCCTCTAATGGATATCGCAAAAAAGGTTGAAAAGAAGGAGGGAACAGGTGATATACAGGTAAAAAAAAAAGCATCAAAATCGTTTTGTTATATATTAATATACAGTCTCCTCACTAACCTTCCAATTTCTCTGATAAGGTTCTGAGTGTGTATGAAGTCATCTACAAGGAGATGGCATCATTGCCTGTCCCTGATGGTCTGTCTTTAATGTCTTATCTTATTGCTCCATTCAAAACTTGTGGAAAAATTGCTGAAATTAATGAAAACATTGAGTTGTATGAATATTTTCCATGCAAAGCACTTTAAGTAAAGAGCAGTCACCTCAGAAATATTTATCTGCGCTTATTTTCAAATATGTTGTTTGAAGCCTATTTATACAGCAGTTTAATGTTAATTATTCATTTAACAGATGCTTCTATCCAGAGTCACTAACAAATGAGAATACAAACAGTAGTGATTGATCCAAGATTTAATTGAATCTAATTTAGTATGACAATTTAGTTCACATGAGATTTGATCATTTTCAAAAATGTTGTCACTTTAAATAAATTGGTGCGAAATGTTAGATTAAATGAACAATTTAAGGAAAGACAACTGTTTAGTGGTGATTTTTGACTTGGTATTGTCTTAGCTTTTGCTCAGATGAAGAAGATCAAGGATCAGCGAAACCCTAATGCACCTAATTTGCTTGTTCATAACAGCCCGTCTGAAGGTATGGATACTGCAATATGTTTAATATGATTTAATCGGTTTCATTATTATACTGTAGTAATTGGATACTGATATATGTTTGGTGTATTTTAATGTATCTATGTTCTGTGAAAGGTAAAGAAACCGGTGCTCAAGAGCAGCAAGAGTCTGACAATATGAATGGGACTGCACAACTTCCAACTTTAGGAAGTTTGGTCTCAACACAGTGTGTATCTACGACACCATCGAGGTCAAAGCGTTCAAGTATGATTGAACCCCAACAAGTCTCAACCAATCCAACACCAAATCCATCTCTCCATAGAACTGCAGGTCCTGTCAAACCATTATTCACATGCCAGGATGCATCTACACCTCAGAGTCTAGTGAATTCTCGTGTTTCATCTAGAATACCTTTTCTAGAAAGCTCCCCTGCTCCAGTCCTCAGCCAACACATAAATCAGCATCAATCAATCCCAGGCAGAAGCCTTCAAAGATATATAATGCCATCTGAAAACCAGTGTTTTACTGAAGCAAGGACAATCTCTGTTGTAAGACCACGAAGACAGTGTATCCCCATCAGAATTTTTTGCCAGAATGACATTGTGCATGCTGGTGAAGATGATGGGAACAATTCTGTCCAGTCATTTGGAGTCAGCATTGAATCACATCCAATGCACCTGGCCCAAACCACTCCATATGAAATCCAGCTGCAAACACCATCTCTTTCAGTGAGCCACATGGTACCAGAGTTAACCCAGGATCTAACAAACAGGCATGGATTTTTCAGGATTGAAAGGTCACCTGATAGTCCAGAGCCTGTTAGAGATGTGGAGATCGTTATCAAGCAGATCAGAACCCAAATGCTAACAGAAACACCGGAACAGGCTACAACGCATGATTTAAGTCCGTTCCATAATGAGTCTAATTTACAAGAACCAATCAACATTGGCTGGGAAGCACATGGTAGTGTATTTATATATATATATATATATATAAAATATCATTATTTTGGTGTTTGTGTAACTCTCATTTATATTTACAGAGGAGCCTCAATCAGACACCTTAGCAGAAGAAAACACCTTTGTGTTCTCACAAAGTCCAATTTCCCAGTCTCCTCTTACTCGGACTCAAAGTCCTTCTGATCAGTTTCAATCAATAGAAGATTTTCTAGAAAACTACAATGGTCGAAAGCCTCTTATCGGTGAGTGTATCTGCATACTATGTAATCTAGCAAAATAATCACATACAAAAGATGATGCATTGATTTAAATTCACTGCACCAAACTGTGTGTGAGCATGTTTGTCACAGGTCTACAAGCTGTTATTAAGTGCCAGAGCGTGGATGGGAATCCACCTCCATGCTGTTACCTGTGTCAGCTGTGCTCTTTGAAGCTGAAGAAGAAAAAAATATTCAGCCATCTGACTGGCTGTGATCACCAGCGAAACTACTTAGTAAGTGTTTCTTCAGGTAGCAAAACTTACTCTCTTGCTAGCAACTGAATTAGTGAACTCTTCGTATCTATACATAACACAATTTGCATAAATATACTATACAAAATATACAAACATTCTATTGCTAATTCACCATATTGCTGCTCATGTAAATATCTTTGTGTTGGCAGAAAGCTCTCCATCCACAGCTCTTGCCTAAAAAGCGTAAACACTGCAACACAAATGAGATGCTTGAGGATATTGCTATCCAGCTGGAGAAAGAGGGTGGAAGAGGACATATAAAGGTACGAACTACGTTCATCTTATTTTCATAGTCATAGAATTAGATGTGGTTGTGCAGAGCTGTATGGTAACTTCATGTTGTTCTAAAGGTGATGAGGTTGTCTGCATGTCTCATAAGTGAGGTACTGGAAAAGGATTATCATTGGTGTAAGTACAGCAGATGAAAGCACAATACATAATTGTTATACTTCATCAGTGAGGGACAAAACTGCCGCCTCACTATATTATTTATTATATGCATAATTTCTTTATCAAAAGGCATGAGGGTGTTGAACTGTGGAGCCGAGGTGGGGTGGAGATCAGGTCTGTTGTCTTTCAAGGAAGGAACTAAAAACACTACAGGTGAGTGTGTATCTATCTATCTATATACAGGTGCATCTCAATAAATTAGAATGTCGTGGAAAAAACAGTTTAATACTTCTAAGATGTTATAATATTCCATTATATTATTGTGATGTTCATTTACTCATTATTACTTAGAGAGAGAGAGAGAGTGTCTTTCTTAGACGACCTAGGTTTTTTTTGTTTTTTTAAGTTTCATTACAAGCTGTTCGCACGTTGGCAATAAAAAAGTGATGAATACGTTCTTACAAATAGCCCCTTTAAAATAGAAAAATAAAATAGAAAACTGCTACTTTGCCCTAAACAAGAAATCTTGAAAAGGTGCTCATTTATGGGTAGAGATTGTAATTAACACCAACAAGATAAAGAAAAATTAATGAATAACACAATTGGATATTGAGTGCCTTACGATTATTTTCTAAATTTCTTATTATTACGGCATTTTGATATTTATACTGGAAAACAAAGCAAAAATGATTACAGGCAGATATTGATAGATTTTCTTCTTTATCTCAAGGTCCCAGTCATACTCTTAAACGGCCAGCAGAGTCTGTGCTGCCCCCTTCTGATAACAACACCACTGGTGAGTGTATATGTGTATAGAGTTGATCCTTTTTATGTCCGGAGTCAAAATAATTTTCTTTAGTATTTTGGCCATATGCTTTAGTAAAATACATAAACTTACTTTAAAAAAGTTTATAAATAGGTCTCTGTTTTTAGAGAATATATCTTGAATTGTGTCTGAAAATTGTTTTGCTCTATTGGTAAATCCTTATTTCTTGATTTAAGCATAAATCTAACAAAATTTGTGAGTTTTACACTATTTTGTTCTAAGGATGTTACAGGCAGACATTGATAGATTTGCTTTTGTTTCTCAAGGTCCCAGTCAGACTCTTAAACATCCAGCAGAGTCTATGCTGCCCCCTTCTGATGCACGGGCTTTTATAGCTCCTGCTGGAGCTCCAACCCATCAGATGTCCAAAAAAATGAAGAAGGGTCATCCTAAGAAAGTAGTATGTACAAACAAAGTTAAGGAGCCTGTGTTTAAGGTAAGCCTGTCACTGCAGGAGGGACCTGTTATCATTGAGAGAACATCTCTAAGAGAGACAACCACAGTGGCGCCTGAGATCGAAGACCAAAGCCCTGCATCCACATGCGCAGACAATGATGCACTGCCTTTAGCGACTAACACGCATTCTGAAGTTCAGATGTGCTTTCACAGCTGTATGTATGAGGAACAGTTCACTAATCCTGTTCATTATGCATACTCAGGGCAGTTTGACCAGTCTCAAGTTATTCAATATTTTGAGCCTTCTCTCAGACCTAGGGACTGTGGTCCAGTGGATGAGGTGGTCACTGTCAGGTATGCTGATTGGCCGCTGCAGGACTGATCCTGCAATAACCAGTGGATTGTAATGAGGCAAAACGGATGGAAGTCATCTTCCTTCTGAGTGTGCAAGTTACATGCAGTACTGATGAGAATGAGTCTTGAAGCATCTACAAAAAAGATGAATCAACAAAAGAGAAGATGCTGAGAAATGATTTGGCAACAGAATTCTTTCCAAACTGTTTATTTTATTTATTTTTTTTTTTTTTCTGTTCAGAATTTATTGGATTTTTCATCAGTATTATTCATTTAACTTCCTCCATCAAAAATACATTATTTGTTAGTTACTTCCTGCCTTAGCGATATATATATATATATATATATA